CCTTCACATCCTTGCTACTTGTTGTTAATGAGTCTCTGGGGATAATCGTTGTTTTTTCAACATCTTTTCAGGAATCAGAAATCCCAGCTCTTGATTTATTCAAATTTATAAATGGGAATAAATGTATGAAGAATGGTAATTCATTGTTTTCAGATCACAGTTTCTGTTTGTTGTCAACTTCTGGTAATTCTTTAACATGGGACTACCGTTTAAGTACTGTGCTACAATATTATTCCTCATGTCAACTCCAACTGTATATACAAACTTACATGTATCTGCGGGAGCAGTTACATTGGAAGGACAGAATGAAGAAGGGCATATCTACGATTTTCTGAATATGTACCAAAAAGCTTACGTTTGAAGGGAACAAATGCCATAAAAAATTTTTTATTACAGCTTGATTCCATACCAAATTTTTTGGTAGAATTATGAAATTTTCAGCATCGGTAGCCCAAAATTTCGCAGTTCGACCATAGATATCAGGTGTGCGTCGGCAGGGGATCGAACGCCGGACCATGTGAATGGTCGGCGAGAGACCTAACCACTATGCTACCGACACACAGTACCATCGCCAGACATCTCCTCGACACGGGTCATGAGGTGGAAATCGAGAAATCCTGTAAAATTATCAATAGACAAATGAGCTCTATTCTCCTCAAGTTTGCCGAGGTAATTTCCATCAAACGCTTGAAACCGGATGTATGTGTTCAGAAAGAAGCAGTTATTAGCCTTTTTTCCCTGGTAACTGGATGTCTCTATTCTTTCGTCTGATTACGTAATCACTGTCTTTAACCTCACCCTCCTTTTATAATCTGTAATTTTGCTTGTCTCTTGTTTCTATAATTTTAGTTCAGCTCGGTACATTGTTACCTAACTTATTAGTCACTATGCATCTAACGCACATTTCATCTTTATTACGTAACTTTTTTACCATTGTATGCATACATTTAATTTGACTTGAACTGCCCATGTAAAAACTATATAAGCGCAAATGTCTGAGCCCTATTCACTAATAGTGGAACTTTTGCAAGCATGTTTAAACTTTTCTGTACATAAACCTCATAATTTATTTAGGCTGTAAGCAGCAGCTGATGAGAAGCCAACGAAATAAGGGATGATGGTACCATGTTATTCTGCACAAACCACCATTGTTGTTCTTGCTTTATTCAAATTTACAAAAGTGGACTTAATGAATGAAGTATTCCCTATCAGCCAATCTTATTTTAACATACAATAATTTATTATTACGAACCGTATGATGTCTTGAGCACACTTCATTGCTTACAATCACATCAAGGTTATCGGATCACTTCTTAGTTTACTTCTACGCCTTCCTGATTTTCTCTGATAAAAGCTTTGATACAAGCAAAATTGTTGTTATGCAACACGTGAATGTATACTTGTGACAGTATGAACAGTTTAAAGTGTTTATTTGCAGGGATTTCATTGGTTACAGGATCTCATCATGAAGTGACATTGGTTAGAGAACCAATGGAAAAAAACCACCGGGGAGTGCTGCTAGACATTGGTTTCGTTAGCCTAGTTTGGGACTGACTCTTCATCAGTACCCACGCACCAACAGGGTTTGAACCTACCACTTTCTGGTTACAAGACCGACGAGCTCGTAGACTATTATTGATCATAACTGGTTTATCAAATGATATTGGTCAGTACAGCAAGTTTAGTTGGAGGATGGTATACACATTTTTGTCCACGTCAAGTAAAATAATAAGTCGTGTCATCCTGGAGAGGCTAAAAGATGAAATGTTTACGGGTCTACACCAACCGGGAATAAGTTTCATTCAGTAAAGGCAAATCATGAGTTGATCAAATTTCAATTCTATGCATTATATTTACAGAACAAAGCATAGAATGGAAGTAGAACTCCCCTCTATCTTAATTTCACCGACTTCTAGAAGTCCTTCGATAGACAGCATTCACTGTGAAGTAATTTCGAAATTACTTCAACATTATGGAGTGCGGTGTCCAGATCTTTATCAACCTCATTCAACAGCTGGCTGGCTATATGACATTGCCAAGTGTCAGGTGATCCGCGATGGAAAACTCAGCAAAGCCGATGATATGAATGCAGCAGTAAGACAAGCCATCTGCCTGCCTGTTATAACCCACGATGATATTCTTAACTGAAGTTGTCTGGATTGTGTATCAGACTGTGTATGGGGAATGAGAAAACAGGATTACTCTGGACTGATCGATAAGAAAACTCTAGAAGATCTGTATTTCGTGCGTGGATGATTTATGTTCAATATCACACACAGATAAACTCGAAGACTTACGGGTAGAAAGGCAGGCGAAAACTTACAAACTGGTAGAAGGCACGAGCAGGAGGTGAAGACAGGATTCCAGGTAGAGAGAACCAATCACTGTAAACGGAGAGATTTGACAAAGGTAGCTTCCTTAGCTTATCTGGCTAGGAAACATAGTTTCAACGATAAGCGACAAAATGGATGAAGATGTCGAAGAGAGAATTAAAAAACTGCGAGATATGTCTTTATCAACCTAAAACCAATTCGGGAATCTTTCGGTCTTACTAAGCCAAAATAAACAACGAGATCCGGATTTTCAACACCAATGTCAAGTCAGTCAGTTAATTCTTTTATATGAGTCAGAAACTTGGAGAGCATTTCCAACAGACCACTGAGAACTTTTATCAACAGCCGTCTCCTTCACTGGTTATTTATTGAAGATGAAATGGCCGGCCAGCCAGCCAGCCAGAAGAAATTAGCTCTCTCCCTGGCAACAAACTAACCAAGCACCTAGCGTTCATATTTTAATACGTGTGTAAAACTTAGGCACTGTGGTAGTAAGTAATTCCATATTAGTTTGTTTATTAGATGTATCACACACACACACACACAGTGAGTGAAACAGTATTATTATTTACTGGATAACACAATTTCGAACAAAATTTATTACTGTTCACAATCATATCAATTATAATCACATGACTACGAAACTTGAGTTTTATAGTTTTCTTTGTTTTCTCCTACTTTGTCGTTGTTGAGGTAGTATAATTTTCCAGATATCCGACTGGACAGGTGTTGAATCATTCCTGTTACACGTATTCACTCTCAGTTGATTCGATAAACAAAGCGTCTGTTATCAATCTCTCTCTATACCCTGTGACATTAGTTTTTAAAACTGTCATCTTATCCCAACCATCCTGTTGTATGGTTGTGTGTAATTGCATGTAGTGAGTGCTATAACTGAACTATTCTCTAGATTTCTTATCTTATTTGGGTCAACCAATCTAGATTTCGCTGCTAGGTTTTTATGCTCGGTTAGTCTGACTGTCCCTGTCCTACTACTTTGACCTATGTATTTGACTTGATAATCATTGTAGACAGGGTATTAGATAAACTGAATTGTTTTGTTTTAAAGGCTCCACAGGATCCACCATTTTACCGACAAAGCTTGATTCTAATTGAGTTTGTGGTTGGTTTGAATTTCAGTCACTTTTATTCCTGCCTTGTTAAGAATTCTGAGTAGGGTTTCCAAGGTTCCTTCCTTGTATTGAATTACTACTGACGACTTTGATTCCTTATTGTTGGTGTCGTCATTAATATTATTATTATCACTATCGCTAATATCATTATTTATTTTATTTCTAGATTTCTTCACATATTTCCTGACTAATCTATCCTGGTAATTATTAAGTTTCAAAGCTTCTTTTATGTGTATCACTTCCTGTCTTAGATTTTCCTTGGCACTACTTAGTTTTTGTGCTCTGTCACTTAAACATGTCACCAATCCAATTTTTACTGACATAGGATGGGATGATCAGAAGTCCAAATATCTGTTTGAATGTGTGGGTTTCCTGTAAACACTAGTTTGTTTAACTTCTCATCTTCTTTCCTTTTTATCTTGCAATCTAACATTGAAAGTTCCCCTTTCTGACTTTCCAATTCATAAGTGAATTGAATTGCCTTCATTTTAAGTTAATGTGTTCGAAAAATCTATATCCTGTGTTCTAAGTACAGTGAATTTGTCATTTACACACCTCTACCACACTTTAAGGGTGGAGGTCAACGTTTCAATCGCTATGTTTTTCCACCTATCCATGAATATATATATCTGCTACAACCGGAGATATTGATGATCCCATGGCAACTCCCTTAGTTTGTTTGTATATTTTCCCTTAGAATTTAAATACTGTGGAAGTCAGACATAGCTGCACTCTCAGCACCTATTGTTCAACACATATATGTAGGAGAAAATGCAGATGGATCGGGTATACAGCACTGAGGAGACCGTTGAATAACATCACGCACTAGCCAAGTCATTATTCGAGTGACTCGTCATTTGCGAGGGTGACATGTAGGAGGATCGTGTGATGATGATGTGGAGGAGAAGATGAGAGATTAAAGACAATCGTGTTGTCAGCCCGGCTGAAGAGTACATCAAAAAAAAATAAATAGAACGAAGTGGAGTGAAGTGTTGATGAAATCAGCCCTACCTCCCAGTCGGAACCCAAAGGAATAATAATAATACTAATAATAATACACCGAAAATAACACATTTTTAGAACTATCTAACACAACAAAATGGCGAAAACACCACACAAACGAATTTATAAAACTAGTATCATCTAAATATTAGAATTATTCGACTGATAAGTCAAGGTTATTAATCCTATATTCATTAGGCTTGACATACATATATCATTGTCACTGGGACTATCAATGGCGTATAATTACTGGGATTTGGAAATTGCTGTATGTTTGTGTGTGTGTGTGTGTTTGAGGGTGTTGGAAACATGAACTGGCAAAGAAAACAGACAGAATGCAAACTCTGGTATGTTGCACGTTTCACTTTAACGTATATCCCCCAATTTTCTTTCACACAACTACACGGGAAAAAAAGTGATTCATTCTTGTACATGTACACATATTCTGCCGCATAATCAATTCCACCAATCATATTATTTCTGTGCTAGTATTGATTATAGTTATTCATTCGTTCATTTATTCCCTATGGCCATCTTTATATGTGCATCATTATACATATATGTATACATGTAAAACTATTTAGAATAAAAAAAGACTATAAATACCTGGGAGGAAAGATCAATTCTACAAGTGCACGTACTTTCCTAGTTCATTGACTTTAGGTACACAGGCTACGAAACGTACAAAGGGTAAAAAAGACGAAAACAAATTTAAGCGGTAATACAAAAAAAAATTACACATTTATTTAATTGGATACCAGTTAACCAGTCCAGTCCTATGGAATATAATCATCAGTATTATTCAAGCTATTCATCAGATATTGACAATAATTATTACAATAACGATGATGATGATGATGCTGAAATCGAGGAATTCAAACGAAAAACTGAAGCAGGTCGTAAAGCACGTCAAAGGGCTAAACAAGACATTGAACGCGATAGTAAGTAGTTTATAACTTTTCCTTTAAAAAGTAACACAACATTTGTATGTATTGATTAATTTGATGAAATGGGGATTTATTTTAATTGTGTTTAGTCTGCAGGAATCGTTTGCGTTTATCTTGTACTAGTCATTTTTATGAATGGTTAACATTTGGAGCATCAGGCTATTGAGAATTAGGCAAATTTGTCTTTACGAGTTGATCACAGATTGATATCAACTGGAAAACTGTTGAAAACCAGGTAGTACTGGACAGCTGCTGTTTCATTCTAGTTAGAGAATCATCTGAAGTACACACCAACCGAGTTTCGAACACATGTGCTGAAATAAAGAAATCGACAGTGATTACAAAACAGAGAAGATTCGTAGCTCAAGCAGATAATTTGAAATGAGTTGTGTTCTCTGAGGAGCTGGTTGGTTTAATTGCTGAGCTTTAATCGTCCTTCTGGGCAACATCTCCAGTGCAAGTCTTAGCATAAAATGAACTGATTTAAATTCTCCACGAATGATAGAATTGTGTATCCTGGTAACCATCTTCGTGTCAATTTATTTTTTTTATTTTTTTTATTTACAGCTTGATTCCACACTGTATTTTTGGTACAAGTATGGAATTTTCAGCATGGATATCGGTAGCCCAAATTTTGCAGGCCGACTATAGATATCAGGTGTGCGCCGGCGTGGGCTCGAACCCCGGACCATGTGCATGGTCGGCGAGAGTCCTAACCACTGTGCCACCGACGCACATGTAGTAATCATTTTTATTGACTAGGATTTTAAACTTTCTCGTCACATGATTTATTTCTTATTAGTTGATAGGTTTGATCTGCATTAACTTGTTTTTTTTTAATCACAGGCTTCTAGGAATTTGTTGTTTCCTCTATTTAAAATCCCTATATATTATCCCAATCATCAAACTGGTGTCCATAATTATCTACTTCCGTTGATATGGAAGAATATATTTCATGTCGTTTTACAGCTAATTTGTTTTCTTTGGTTCGAAATCGAAGGGAACACCCACTCTAACCGATGTAATGTTTATTGCAGGTTAAGCATGCAATTTATTTTGTAAACAGTATTAATTTTATCTTCTTCTCCTGTTGAATTCTTGTACGAAATGGGCAAAGGCTATACTATCAGACCCTCTGCACCCCCTTTATTCACACCTGTCCCCTTGTATCTCATCAGGTAGGACGAGAAATCAATATAAAAAGTTATATGCTCGTACTACTAAGTATAGAAATTCTACAATACCCTATTTAGCGCGTACTTTATGTGACGAAGACTCTGTTAGACGTGAAACTTACAAGTTACTATGTAATTAGCACAGTGAATCGACCCTTTTATCGTTTCACCTTTCTGTATTTTATGGTGTCACACTTTCTATCGTTTAAATCGTTACTCTGCTATTTTATTTTTAGTTGGTATTACTATTATTACTACAATTTTGTACTTTATGCATATTTTTCTCCGTATGGCATACAGTATTTTGCTATGTAGCTGCTATAACAATCGTTTTATTACTATTATGTAATGTGTATTTTTAATTTTTTGTTGTTGTCGTTTTTGAGTAAATTAGATGCAATATTGTACTGAATGCTGAAAATTCCTTGCTGTATCATGAGCACTGTTTTTGGAATAAAGCTATTATTATTATTAATCCTTTGATTCGCACAATATCGAATGAAGTGATTTTGCTGGCTGGCTGGCTGACTGGTTTGTGTACTTAATACTCTAGCCATTATTTCAGAGAAATTTTTTTATATATGTTTCCGAGAATTTTGTCGTAGTCATTGATAACGGTTTCCTGGTGATGTTATAATTCGAGTTTTAAACACTTTTTGATGAAATTGTGAGGATATCCATTCTTTTTGAAGACGCTTATTGGGAATTTTTCTTGCATTCTCTTCAGTTAAGAGCGAAGTGCTACAGTGTGTTTGAATTCGTTTAAACAATATCTGTACAGTTTCTTTTGTGGATTATTGAGTTAACCCCCTAGAATCCGAATTGAAGAACACAAATTCACTGTGAAAAGACACCATTTTGATTGGAGTAATGTAGAAATTTTAAATACAAGAGACATCAAAAATGTCTTCTGGGAGTTTCTAGAATCCTGGTACTACTAAAGTGAATCAGCCAGCGGCTAACAAACACAACCATTACTATAGAACAAATCTACTAAATAATAAAAAGTAAATCACACGATAAGTTCAAATTCCAAGTCAATGAAAATGATCAATAGAGACATAAACTAACAGCCAGTCACGACAGTAGTTGCCAGGAGATATAATTATGTCATCATTCATGAAGAATTTAGATAAGTCCATTTTGTACTTAAACCTGTGCTAAGGATGTTATCATCTAGAAAAGGGTACGATGAGTAAAGCTTTGCAATTAAGTCAGCCATCCTCTTACAGAACAGAACTAAGTCAAAAATAACTACTACTCAATACGTGATATATAAAGCCAAGCCTTGTTTCAGCTACTTAATTAAGTTTAAGGTACTGAAGAATATATATTTTTCATTAAAACCCACTTGTTCCTATAAATCATGGCGCAAATACAATTAAAATAAATTGGTTACTGTTTAGAATTACTTGACAGTGTATGAGATTTAAGTACTTGATGAGTGTTTAATCTGAAGAATATTCTATTCACTACCAACCCCTTTAGACTGTTTTATTTTAAACAGTTCCAAATAAAAACATTTCTTCAGCTTGAAAACTAAAGCAGAAGTTAAAACTAATGAACCATACTGGATTTGGGTCAAAATTGGCTAAATGATCAACGAACCTGACGTCATAACCTGAAGGTTCTAGGTTTGATTCCCAGTGAGTGCGTACTACTGAAAAGTCACAAATTAAGACGAAACATCTGTTAAGTAATTTCTCGTTTGCAATGGTTCTCTCGCTCTAACTGACATAAATCCGTGATCAAATTTGAAGTGCATCAAATGGCTACAGACTGACTCTGGAAAATGAAACTAACCTTTTTTGTTATTTTTTTCAATTATACATGTTTTTCCACTAATTGTCTTGTCTATATAATATTTATGACGTAATATTATAATCCAGCCATCAATAATTGTACTCAAGATAACGGTTCATCATTCTGGTTAAATATTCTGATGATTATCATTTCAATGGTGTATTTAACACTTGTCAAGGGATATTTTAACCTGAATTCTCCATAGTTTTTGAAAATTAACTTTAAGGTTATCTGAACACATGAACATTCTTGTGTAATACTCTAATCAAACTCATGCAGCAAGGCAGGTGATAATATCCTACGGAGAGTTGTCATCTAAATGATTGGTAACCAGTAGTGTCCGTCATGGATGCCCAACAATATCCCATTTCTGTCTAATTTCATCATAAATGTATTTATGGACTTAACCTTGACTGAATTTAGCTACTCAAGGATCGACTTGTTACCAGGGTAGGAATAATCTCGTTGACTTACAATATGCTGATGATATAGTTCTCCTCCCCCCCTCCCCCGAGGGTGAAAATGCTGACAAAACATACCAGAGTTGTCTGAACACCTTGAACAGTGAGCAATCTTAAATTGTTTGACATGCGAGTGATTCGCTGCTGCTTCCTACAGGACTGGACTACATCGACTCACTCCTAGCTTAAAGATAGAGAGAAGGTGATGAAGTAGTTGGTGCAGCGTGCTGACCACTTCACGTATTTGGGGGGGAAATTGCATCAGCCGACACCGGAGAGTTGACCAATTGCTGACGAAATATCAGCACAGATACGGAAGGCTCGTTTAGTAGATGTCAACATACGGCATCTTTCTCTCTGTGACTTAGTGGACATGATATCCGACTGGTTATCGAACAAAGGAAGTGTGTACTGCTCACCAGCACTTTGCTTCATCCTCCTTTATGACTGGCTGGCTGTGAGACATGGCTATTGTGAGTGGAAGAAGAAAAAAGCGTGGCTTGTTAACTATCTTTTATCATAATTGCCTATTTTCTATCCCCCGTGTGAATTGGTATAATAAAGTGAGCAGTATTGAGGTTAGGCTAGTCATTGGTGGTGGAGTACTATGTAGCTCTAGGTAAGAAAGGGAAATCAATGGTTGTGAAGCTACACTACTGGATCGATTGAGAAAGATGGTTAAGATATGCGTTACGCATGCCGCCGTGTAATGCCATTGATCACCTTCCTTGACCGACGGGCAGTGTTAGCTGACTGACACAGGATGATGACTGAGGTTGGAAAAGAGTTAGTTACCTAGTGGTAGGTGGTCGAACCAAATCATGGCTTCATTAGTTAATGAAATCTACAGGAGATTTAGTTCAGGCCAGCCAGCCAGCCAGTCAAGTCAGAATGCGTGAACTGCTTGGCTGTCTGGTTTGGGTCCTCGCGATGGTAAGAAGCATTGGTTGCTGGAGACGATTGGTGATATGACTCAGCATCGTTGTCAATAGATGGCGGAGATGCATTCACTCTTTGTGATTTATCATATCCAATGAAATTCTATTGTTCTTCCATGCAAATATTCTTTTTCCCTCACACTTATATTTATTATTTGTATTTTGAACCTCCCTTCGCTCTCTTCTCTTGCTTTTGTATGCTACAAGGAATGTGGCAAGTCGAAATGCTACACATTTGTACAAAGTTCTATGTCGAAATCAGTCAGTTAGTTAGTCAGTTTGTAATACAAACATGTGTGTGCATGGTCATGTATAATGATCATTTCACCGGAGACCAGCAATGATATGTTCTGTCCACTGGTGTGATTAAACATTACACTGTTTCGTGATGCTAAACTGTATTTTAGATCTCTGTTGTCAGGGAACTTAACTCTAAGTTCTTATTATTTGCGAAGGCGCTCCGAACTGATAATTTTTTTTTATTTTGATTACAGCTTAATGCCACACTGTATTTTTGGAACAAGTATGGAATTTTTAGCATGTGATATCGGTAGCCCAAATTTCGCAGGCCGACCATAGATATCGGTTGTGGGTCGGCAGGGGATCGAATCACAGACCATGTGCATGGTCGGCGAGAGTCCTAACCACTGTGTCACAATTACTACGACTATTCTCGACTTTAACTTCAAAACACTAGTACTTGTAGGAAAGAAGTTGTATTGTTTGGCAATTAAAATCAAGATTAGAACATAGTCTGAAAACAAATGTTTTACAAAAGAATGTACTGTACTTTTATTCGTATTCTTTCGTCTTCTTCCAACTTGTACACGACTGAACGATTCACGCCTTCGAGTTGCCCGCCAATGGCTACCAAGGTCAATGAACCAACGTTCAATATTCACGTTCCTTTACATCTGTCTTGACAGACGGACAGCCAAATATTTGCAACAGACTAAACAGCTTCATCAATTCAAACAGAAAAACATCTAACAGACTAGTGTTTATCGCCATTCATTTAGTAATTCATTTCTCAATTCTGAAATTTGAAGTGTTTATTTTAATAATGAAATGACAGTCGACATATAAACTCACATATAAAATTACAGATATTGAAGATTTCAACAGATAACTACTTCGCAGTCAGTTGTGTTTTCTGAGGAGCTGGTTAGTCTGATTGTGGAGCTTTTGTCGTCAATCCATTCTAGACAACATCACCCTTCAGCAAAAGTTTTAGCATTAAATGAACTGATTTAAATTCTCCCTCCATGAATGATAGAATTGTGTATCCTGGTAACCATTGTTGTGACTGGTAGTCGATTTACATCTGCATTGATCATTTTTTTATTGACTTGGAATCCGGACTTTCTTTTCATATGATTTACTTTTTATAAGCTAGTAGGATGAATTTTCTTGTGATCTTTGATGCTGGCTTGTTGTTGTTGTTGGTCTTATGACTTGATTTTAAACACTTCTGATGAAATTTTGTGGGGTATTCACTCATTTTGAAGACGGTTATTAGGAATTTTTCCTGCATTCTCTTCAACAAACACCGGAGTAATGCTACGGTATGTTTGTTTTTATTCTAAAACTTGCACTGAAGCGATGGTGTTTAGAAGGGGTGGACGACGAAAGCTCCACAATTACACCAACCCACTCCTTAGAGAACACAACTAACTGCAAATCAACCAACCACCTGACCTATAAATCTTCGCTATTATTATTTCAACAGATGATCACTTCATATTTTTAACCGTAATTTTTAAAAACCAAAATCATTTATTTTTCATAATTATTTATTCAGTGGAAAATACAATCACGCAAGATGTCCGTCAATTAGCACGTAAAGCCTCTGATACTGTACTCAATGAATACGATGAAGCAAGACAAAGAGCTTGGGCAAGAGATCAACAAACTTTGGATTACATTGATGAAATATTAGTAAGTTTTACTGGAATAAAGTGAATTTTTTAAATCAGGTGCACTTTTTAAAAATCATTTTGCATACTCACAGTGAACTAAAATTAATAAAAATTAACAGAATCATTGATGGAGTCTAGTGAATTGACTAGTTCCTAGACAACTTGTACACCCGACTGAGATCAACTTGTGCGCCGGTGGCACAGTGGTTAGGACTCTCGCCGACCATGCACATGGTCCGGGGTTCGGGCCCACGCCAGCGCACACCTGATATCTATGGTCGGACTGCAAAATTTGGGCTACCGATATCACATGCTAAAAATTCCATACCTGTACCCGAAAATACGGTGTGGAATCAAGCTGTAAATCAAAAAAAACTTGTAGACACGGGAAAATCTAGGATCATTTAACAACTATCCGACTATAGTGTGAAATATTCCCATATCGCATGAATTAAAAGTCAATCTGAACCAAGAAGAATATTCGTTTCAATAATTTCTCTACTTTAGGTTCTTATATAATTATAAAATATAATATTTTCTGTCGTTACACTAATGATAGCCAGTTAGTGGTGTGATGGATACATCCTTTAACGTAGAATAACAGATTAGCAGTTATGGGGTGTCAAAATAAATAGTCGTATTTGTGTGACAAACGTCGTGCTAGTTGGCTGAAATCGATTAGAAAATCTTTTGGTGAAATGGGAGACAATGGTGGTGATGAGTCATAATAGATTTGTACAATGTGGAGTGGGGTAGGACAAATTGACAAGACAGTTCAAGGTTATAAAAGGTGTCAGGTGAGTGGCTAGTACATGCTTTTATGTATAAAGAGGAGATACTAAGACTGCAATGAGAAGTTCATCATAAAATAACCAATGTGCAAAATGAAACAGGTGGAAGAATATATTGAGAAAAGAGATAATATTGTGGTGAGAGCAGGCTGCTAGCCGATTGGTTGACACTAAGCTACGTTAATATGGGCCGTGAGAAAATATGAACAAGGCTGAGTCAACAACCAATCACAGCAAAGTTAACGTGGCAAAATATGATTCGCAGATAGAGAACTCTATTTGTCAAGGAATCCCGAAACAACCAATCAGAAGCCTGCGTTTGTCTGCCTAACTTCTGATAAACAACCAATCAGATGACTGCGCTTGTCTATGATAATGTATGTGAAATATGTATAAATACGTGTTGATTTTCATAATAAAACGATCTGTTGCCTGGCCCTTGTCTTCTGTTGTTACAATATCACTAATAATAAGTCCTGATAGTATAAATGGAAAATTCGATAGTGTTGAGAGAATGTTTGCATGAAGGGCATAAATTATGACGAATAATAATAATATTTTTAATAAAAGCCAAAGGAAAAAAAAGCAAGAGGGTTAAGGGGAAGAAGCACTCTTGGTGAGAAGAAGAATCATCAGTCCAAGTTTGACCACTGTAGGAGCGAGTTCCTTTTGGATATATAGTAACGGTTTCGTTGATCTTATTGCAACAACTTCAGCTATGTATAGGAGACGTAAGCGAACTGTACATGATAACGACTTCGGAATTCGGTATATAACCCTGAAAACTGTGTTGACATCGATACGATGTCCAGTATCGACCAATTGTGACAGGATCGAGCTTTTTATGCGCTGAATTTCCCTCCTGCTGTGCCAAGCTGGTAAATGTTGTCGAACGCGTAGATGAACCTGCCTAATCGTGTGCCCTATAGAACTTAAACCACAGGAACAGTTAAAATGGTATATGTATGAAGAAGAGTTAAGTTTAGGTAAGACATCTTTCAGTTGGTGGGTGAACATTGGACGGTTACTTAAGGAGGATAGGTACAGATATGCAGAGTAAAAACTTTTCTTTATCGCCCTGGTTAAACGTTGTAATAGAATCTCCACAGGAATATCTCCCTTGAATTGTAGACGTAAAAGCAGAGGCTTTTCCTCTACCGTTGCCAATTCATGTTTACAACTATTGTAACCTATGCTGGCTAAAATGAACTTCTCTGGATATCCATTCTCGCTTAGAATCTCTCGGATAACCTGGAGTTCTTTCTCTACACTGTCTTTGGAACAAATAGACCTCACTGTAAATGCTAAACACCTGATCAAATCACGTTTGCAGTTCATCGGTACGAAGCAAAGGAAGTGTGTATACTGAGCTTTGGTCTCTAGCTTTCTAAATATGGTTCTTTTGACGGAATCATCCTCTCTTCTCGTTAGTAGGATGTCAAGGAAGTGTAGAGAGTCGTTGTATTCTCCGATTATAATTCATATGCACTTAATAACTCTATGAATTAAGATCATAATAGCTAAGTGTTTCACAGTAAGCTGGAGACTATCCAAAACAGTATAATGGAACCCATTATCTACTTACATTCTCACCGGAGTCAACTCATCGGTGTCTGCATTCAACAGTCTGATTGTCCTTTTTTTTACTGTATTGATATATTAGGTCACTGATTCATGTCACTCTGTTATAAAAACATAAGTTCTTGTAGAATAAATCGAATTCATGATGCGTTGATAATAATAGATTGTATGGAGGATTTAATCATGAGCTGACATCAGTTAGAGAACCACTGGAAAACCTGGGAATACTGGACAGCTGTTTCGTCCTGGTTTGGGACTCCTCAGCAGTACGGGTCCCAGTGGCTCAATGGTCTACGAGCTCGCCTTGTGACCAGAAGGTTCTGTGTTCGAACCCCGGTGGGTGCGTACTGCTGAGGAGTCCCAAACTAGGACGAAACAGCTGTCCAGTACTTTCCAGGTTTTCCAGTGGTTCTCTAACTGATGTCAGCTCATGATTAAATCCTCCATACAATCAAACCAAATCCCTACAAAACCAACACTTGATAATAGATTGCCCAAAAAGAAAAACTGACTACATAAAACTGATATGATATGAACGTAGGGTAAAGAAAACGAGATTTTGGAAAGGGGCTAAATCCCTTTGATTGAACACTGTTCAGTAACTGTTGTAAAGTGTCTGGTCCTATCTTTATTATTATTATATTATTATTGTATCCTTTAGTTCCTAGAGGAACATAGGGCTTCAGCTGCGCACCTCCATTGCCTTCTGTTTTCTGACAATTTTTTCAACCTGCTCCAGGTCTGTCCACATGCTTTCATCTCCTCCTCGCATGATCTCCTCCAAGTCACCCTTGGACGACCAACTCGCCGCCTCCCTTTCGGGTTCCACTCGAGGGCTTGTCTAGTGATGTCACTTGATGGTTTCCACAGCGTATGGCCAATCCATCTCCATTTCTTTCTGCCTATTTGTTTCACAATCGGTTCCTGATTGGTTCGCTCCCAGAGATCCCTGTTGGTGATCTTTTCTGGTCATCTAATCTTGAGTATTGAGCGAAGACAACTGTTAATGAAGGTCTGTAGATTGTTTGAGGTGCTCTTTATGACTCGCCAAGTCTCTGATCCGTATAGTAGCACTGACTTTACATTGGAGTTGAAGATCCGGATATTATTTTTGATGGTGAGTGCTGTTGACCTCCACACAGATTTGAGAGTAATGAAAGCTTGTCTTGCTTTTCCGATTCTGGCTTTGATGTCCTCGTCAGTTCCGCCTGTAGTTGAGACGATGCTTCCCACGTAGGTGAAGGAGGTTGTTTCTTTCAGGTTCTTCCCACTTATGTTGATTGTTGTCTGTTGTTGTTGTTGCTGTTGATGTTGGCTAGGAATCTTCATCATCTCTGTTTTTTCTATGTTCACGTGAAGTCCTATCTTTGATGCTTCTTCTGCCAACTTGTTGCTTTTCATTTGCATATCTTCCAGTTTGTGGGAAATCAGACATATATCATCGGCGAAATCCAGATCCTCCAAGTCTTTTGTGTGAGTCCATTTTATGCCTGTTCCCTCGTTGGTTGCCGTTGTCTGTCGCATTATCCAATCAATTGCAATCAGGAAGATCATTGGTGATAGTAGACAGCCTTGCCTCACTCCCGTCCTCACTTCGAAGGCTTCCGTAAGTTTCCCGTTGTGGATTACTTGGCATGCAGCATTGTCGTATAACTGTTGGATGAGATGTATAATTGTCGATGGGACCCCGTAATAGCGAAGTAGTTTCCAAATGACCTCTCGATCGACGCTGTCGAAGGCCTTTTCAAAGTCGATGAAGTTGAGATAGAGAGGTGACTGCCATTCCAAGCTTTGTTCAATGATGATCCGTAGAGTGGCGATTTGATCAATACATGATTTGCTTCTCCTGAATCCAGCCTGTTCCGGACGAAGTTTTTCATCCAGGGCTTGTTTGATTCTCTCCAGGATGATGCGACTTAGTATCTTTCTTGGAATGGACAGAAGCATAATTCCACGCCAGTTTTTACATTGACTTAAGTCTCCTTTTTTGGAAGTTTGAATAAGTATCCGTTCTTCCAATCCTCGGGTACTTTGCCCTCTTTCCACACCTATCTTTGCTGCAGACTAAAATTCTATCAGCCAAATTTGCAATATGGCAGCCACCATACCATTATGTGGCTCACCATCACTTTGCACTTTGAATTGTTGATGTTAGATGGTTTGAGACAACTGGCCACCACAGGAAGCCTTGCCGGGACCTACCTAGGTTTCGTGCTGGTGGTTGACACTCACCACCAACAGTTAGCAAGGAGGCATATCGTAAAACTTTGAAGAGAGGAACTAATGTCCCTTCTGAGATTCGAACCTACATCACCTAGTTCTACTGGTGGCCACATTGCAAATTTGACTGATAGAGTTCAGTCTGAACAAAAAAGATAGGACTAGACACATTACACTAGTCACGGACTAGTGTCCAATCAAAAATATTTAATACAGTCCTTCATGAGGCGGTCAATCAAGCGAAGAGCCCAAATAGCTGTTCACTGAGAACGTCTCTGACGGACTGTAAGCGGCATTGCGTTATGACACGGGGTTCGAATCTCAGAAGGGACATGAATTTTCTTCAAGGTTATAGATACGCCACCTTGCTGACTTGCGGTGGAGAGTGTCAACTAGCACGAAACCCAGGTCCCTGATAAGGCTTCCT